CTGGCGAGATGGATGAAGGAAGACTTGGATGTGGGGGTGAGCGAGCTCGTGAGCGTGGAACACGAGTTTGGCTCTCGGCGAGTGCATTTTAAATTGAAGGACAGTAAGAAAGCAGAAGAATTGGTGATGGAAGACGGCGGTGAACGCGTGTTTACGTATGAAGATGGATCTACCAGGAAGGTTACATTGAGCTGCGCCGGGATGGGTCTGCGCTACGTGCGCGTCCGCAACCTGCCGCTCTAGGCCGGCGAGGAAGAACTTGTGGAGATGCTAAGTGAGTACGGGAGAGTTATTGAATGCGTGACTGATAAATATGGGCCGAAGAGTGCTTTTCCGGGTGTGTTGACGGGCGTGCGCGTGGCGCGGATGCAGCTGAGGAGGCATGTGCCTAACTACCTCCGTGTTTGTAATTTAGAAGTGTACGTGGAATACGTAGGGCAGCCGCGGACCTGCCAGCGGTGCGGCAGCACGCAGCACCTGCGGGCGGCGTGCCCCCGCGTCAACACATACGCCTCGCGGCTCGCCGCGTCCAAGGGGGCGGACACGCCTCAGTTCGTGAACGGCAAGGCGTTCGAGTTCGAAGGGGAAACCGACAATGAGGAGGAGGCGCGGGAGGGGGAGGCGCGAGAGGAAGAGCAGCGAGACGAGGAGCAGGGGGGCGGAGAGCAGAGGATTCCGATAGACCACGAGTTCAACACTAGGATGTTCAACATGAGGATGGAGCTTGCAAGGAAAAACAACTCATGGATGTTGAACTGCAAGCCCAGCGCGGCAAACAAGGGGAAAAAGGCGTCCCCCGTGATCCCCACTGCCCTCGTGGCTCCCGCGGCCCCCGCGGCTCCAGAAGCCCCCGCGCCCCCGGCTGTGCCCGCGGCCGCGAGTAGTAGCGAGACCGAGGGAGACGAGCAGCCGAAGGAGCTGTGCGTGAGCAATGTGTCAGTGGACTTGGTGGTGGGGAATGCACTCAGTGCGACCGAGAAAGAGGGCGAAAAGAGCGGTGAGGAAGAAGAAGGGGCCGAGTCGTTTGAAACTTTTTTGAACAACACGCTGCAGTCGATGGCGGGGGAAGGCGCGGACCAGCTGAACAAAATAATAAAAGGGGGAGAGGCCGACGCGGCGAAAAAGAAGTCGGACAGTGCATGCTTTCCCACGAGCGGTAAAAAGATATCCTTGGGAAGCGGAGCGGCAAAAGGTAAAGGACGCAAGAGGGAGTCCTCGGGCAGCCCGCCAGAACCGCCCCACACCCGATCAAGGAGGGCGAGCCTCGGACACGTCATCTCCTCAACCCCAAATAAATGAAGATCGCATCAATCAACATCTGCGCCGCAACTGCTCGGGCCAAGCTAGACAACCTTCAAGACGCTCTGAGAGGAGTTGACGTGGCGCTGCTGCAGGAGGTGGCCGCGCCTGTCCTTGGGCTCAACGGTTACCGCGAGTACGCCAATCCTGGTCCGCGGGGCCGCGGAACCGCCATCCTGGTGAAGGAGAACCTCCAGTCCACGCTGCTCCTGGCCCTGCTGTGCGGCCGCGGCACCGCCGTCAAGGTAGGCCACACAACTTATATCTCTGTGTATGCACCGGCAGGGTCCAG